CCAGCTCCTAAAACTTCCTGGGTATTGATTTTTGCCACCAGGTAGAATCCATCTCAGCACACCCTCAGAACACTGGTACTTCTAGCTCTAACTTACGTTGTCTTGAAAGAAGCTGTGTAAGTGTTATTCCTTCACTGCACATGATACCCAAACAAGAAGGTAAGAATGGGAGGTAGAAGTAGAACTGGGAATTCTGACTAGCCATACAGCAGTGGGGAGGCCAAGAGACTGGTAAACATTTTTTTCTGAATTTATCCCCTATTGAACCATAGTTATTTTGTGCTTCATTACAGTGTTTTCAGGACCTAATACACATTTCCATGGGCCTCAGGGAAATTCCACGGTATATCTGGAACTTTGGGTGTGTTTTCAAGAAGTAGCATTGGTTGGGGCTAAGATAGCAGAGGGGATGAGTTAGGAAAACGTCTGTGGTTAGTGATTTGCTGAATGTTTTTGAAGATCCATGAGTTCCTTTCCCTTCTCTCCTCCTCATTTTTTCCTTCTTAAGTTATGAGCCAGGTTACTCATCACTTTGGCTTTTTAAAGCGTAAGCATGTGGGGCGCCTGGGTGGCTCAGTCGGTTAGGCGACTGCCTTCGGCTCAGGTCATGATCCTGGAGTTCCGGGATCGAGTCCCACGTCGGGCTCCCTGCTCGGCGGGGAGTCTGCCTCTCTCTCTGACCCTCCTCCCTCTCATGCTCTCTATCTCATTCTCTCTCTCAAATAAATAAATAAAATCTTTAAAAAAAAATTAAATAAATAAAAAAGTAAACATGGTAGAATATAAACACCTCTCCATAAATAATACAAATAATAGATTTCATTTTTCGAGTGCTTTAACTCTGTGTTCTTTGTGGTGCTAAGCATTTGATGTTATTATCTCCTATCACCCTTTCAACCATCCAGGACTTCTCATTTTACTGGTGAGGAAAGTGAGACTGAGAGGTCAGAGATCTGGCTCAAGGTCACATAGCTAGTTAGTTTAGACATCACACCTGATCCCCAGTCACAGGTGGCCTGACACTAAAGCCATGTTTTTTTTTTTGTTTGTTTGTTTTTAAGATTTTAAAAAATTAATTTATTTAGGGAGTGAAAGTGGGGGAGGGGCAAAGGGAGAAGGAGGGAAAGAATCCCAAGCAGACTCCACGCCCAATGCAGGGCCCGATGCAGGGCTCTGCTCCAGGACCCTGAAATCATAACCTGAGCCGAAACCAAGAGTCAGATGACACGTAACCGACTGAGCCACCCAGGTGCCCCCCTAAAGCCATGTTCTTAATCACAGCACTGGATGGACACTACAAACTGGTGTGGTAGAAGAAATTGGGAGATTCTTGATTTCTAGGCATGTATTATATTAGTGGTTAATGTAAGTTATGGTCAGTTTGAAGCTGCCCACAATGCGGCTCAGTGGAAAGACGAACAGAGTAAGAGATGGAAGATTTGGAATCTGATCTCAGCTCAGACAACACTTAGAAATGGAAGCACAAATTGGTGCCAGATCTGACTTTTGGGGAAATAATTGACCCTCTTAGAGTCTTGATTTCTCCTTGTGTAAAGTGGGTGCAATATTATGCTCTCTGCAGGTCTCAGATTTTGCTGTGAAGATCCAATGAGGTAATAGTCACGCATTGAAAATATAAAATGTTCTATACACATTAGGTGGCATGACTTAGATTTGTTGGGTCACTATATGGATTTTTAAAAAATTAATTCATAGAATTCAGTACTTCAGCTAATATTTATTGAATGCCTCTATGTGCCAGACATTATACTAGATGTTGGTCATACATCGGTGAATAAGTCCTGCTTTTTAAACAAAACTTTTAATAAACTTATACACCCTCCACCCATTTCTCCCACCCCACTCCCCTGCCTCTGGCAACCCTCAGTCTGTTCTATTTTTTTCTCTATATCTGTTTTTATATAGATATATAGATTCCATATGTAAGAGAGATCATACAGTACTTGTCTTTCCCTGTCATTTATTTCACTTAGCATATGCCCTTGAGGTCCATCCATGTTCTTGCAGATGGCAAGATTCGTTCTTTCTTATGCCTGAATTATATTCCATTTTATATTTATTTATATCTGTTTATCTCACAATTTCTTTGTCCATTCATCCATCAGTGGACACTTAGGTTGTTGCTATGTCTTGGCTATTGTAAATAATGCTTCAGTGAACATGAGGGTGCATATATATCTTTTCAAGTTAGTGTTTTCATTTTCTTCAGATAAATACCCCTAAGTAGAATAGTTCTATTTTTAATTTTTTGAGGAACTTCCATACTGTTTTCCATAATGGCTGCACCAATTGACATTCTCACCAGCAGTGTGCAGTTTCCTTTTCTCTACATTCTTGCCAACACTTGTTATTTTCTTGCCTTTTTTTCTCCTCTTTTTAATAATAGCCAGTCTAACAGGTGTAAGGTAACATCTCATTGTGGTTTTGATTTTGATTTGCATTTTCCTGATGATGAGTGATACTGAGCATCTTTTCATGTATCTTTTGGCCATTTGTGTATCTTCTTTGGAGAAGTTTCACTTGATCATGGTATATGATCCTTTTAATATATTGTTGAATTTGGTTTGCTAGTATTTGTTGAGGACTTTTGCATATATATTCATCAGGGATATTAGCCTGTAATTTTTTTTTTTTATTGTGGCATCCTTGTCTGGTTTTGGTATCAGACTAATGCTGGACTCATGAGTTTGAAAGAGTTTCTTCCTCTTCTATATTTTGCAAGAGTTGGAGAAGGATTGTTATTAATTTTTCTTTGAATGTTTGGTAGAGTTCACTAGTGAAGCTATCTGGTCCTAGACTTGGTTTTTGGGAGGTTTTAAATTACTGATTCAATCTCCTTAGTAGTAATTGGTGTCTTCAGATTTTTCTATTTCATTATGATTCAGTCTTGGTAAGTTGTGTGTTTCTAGGAATTTATTCATTTCTTCTAGGTTGTCACATTTGTTAGTATAATTGTTCACAGTAGTCTCTTTTGTATTTCTGTGGTACCAGTTGTTGATGTCTCCTCTTTCATTTCCGATTTTATTTGTGCCGTCTATATCTTTTTTACTTGGTGAATCTGGCTAAAGGTTTGTCAATTTTGTTCATCTTTTCAAAGAACCAGCTCTTAGTTACGTTGATGTTTCCTGTTGTCTTTTTAGTCTCTATTTCATTGATCTCTGCTCTGATCTTTGTTATTTTCTCCCTTTATGGATTGTGTTCTCCTGTGCCTTAGATCCTGGCAGAGTTAGAGTGAAAGCTTTGTTTCTTAGAGAGGTGCAGTCCTGGTGGGGAACACTGATGTGCAATTGGGGATTAGCAATGGAAGAATGCTGTGGGAATTTAGGGCAGGGGAAGTTCACTGTAAAATAGCATTGCCCAGGGAAAGCTTTATGAAGTGCACGGCATAGTGAATTAAGTAGATTTTAAAGGATGTGGTATTCAGATGGATCAAGAATCGTTCACTTTGTGGAAACTTACCTTTGCTTTTAAAAGGAAACCCAACTAAGTACCTAGGGTCACCATTTGCCTTCTAAAAAAAAGTTACTTAAGGACTGTCGTGAGATATGGAACTTGGAATTTCTGTGCTCTTAAGAGGATGGAGGCGTTTTTATACTGTTTCATCTTCTCCAATAGTGTTTGGCCTATCCTCCCTTCCTCAGACTATAAACCCGAAAGGAAGGAATCTTCTCCTGAAACCTATAGATCGGCATTATCATCAGTCTTAGGTTGGTTAGCATTCTATTTTTTTCCTCCTTAATTGAATAATTTCTCCAAAGAGTACTAACTAGTTTAGAATTTTAAAAAGATTTGGTAATGCATTAGAGGTTACAAGTACTCAGCTGAAATTAAAGGAGTTATCAGTCTTGCTTTGGGAAACAAGGTGACCAACCAGCTCGTTTCAGAAAAACTACCTCTCCCATTCCAGTGATTAGTTAATAAAATTATTCCTGACAGCGGCAGGCCAAGAAGCTCAGGCAGTTACATATTTAGAGACAGAGAACCCATTGTCCAAAGATCTCAGAAGAGCCTTTGCAAACACACAGAAGGGATTTAGAACAATTTGCATAAATCTCCCTGTGGATAGCGACATGGCTCTGGTATTAGGGTGGTTCCAGGAACCCCTCCTTGGCTGTATCATGGGGTGACGCTGTGCTTAGTGAGAATTCAGTCTTATGATGGTTTTTGCCAACAGGATTGGGTGATGGGACACTGAATAAGCCCACTGTTTGGTTCCACATAAGGACTCTTTTGTGTTGGCCCGGTGTACCCATATTCAAGTTTGTCTTGCTTTTTCTCCACTGATGTTTTTGGACTTTGTGGGCTGGGGAATTAAGCACAACACCTATTCTGAGCTAATCTGTCAAATTTTGTTCTTGAAAGGTAACCGTAGCCCCTTGTATTTCTAGAATGTGGAGAATAATAGTCATACCTTTGGAGACTTCTGACTTCTTAAAAGTCAGGGAGAGGAGGAGACCTTGCTTGGCGTACCCAGATAGCTAGGCATTCATGCCTGTTCCTGGCAGAACTGTGCGAAGTAATTCCCTTGTTTGTTAATGTGATTTGCCTCCTTCACCAACTTCTTTAAGAACTATGTTCTCTTGCATAGTTAACAAGTTGTACTTTAATATTTAATATTCCCCTCTGGAAGGGTATGGATCACTCTGGTGTGTAGTTTAAAAATGCCGGGTGGTTACAGATCTGTTTCAAGTTTTCTTTTTTTCTACTTACTTTTTGAAAAAAAAAAAAAAATGATATACATTAAATACCACATATTAAGAGCTTTACTGGTTTCTTGCACAGACTGCTGTCATTCTAGAAGCCACATAGGAGTCTAATTTAAAATCCAGGGAGTAGTTTATGCAATGGGGAAATTTGGTGCTTTAAGTACAAAAATGAAATCCACTAATTTCTAACCTGGAGTTTATTTTCTTTCAGTCTGCTAGCTTGATTTCTCAGCTTTGTTCTAATAATATAAACATTTTTATGTTTATTTATAGGTGGTTTTAACCAAGAGAGCAGATCCAGCTGAGCTTAGAACAATATTTTTGAAGGTCAGTATAAAGGAATCTATTTTGTTTCTTGTTTGATTTGTGTTCTTGAACTTTTAAAGGTTATTTTCAAACAGCTCTTTATTTCATTGTTATATATGTAAAAAAAAAAAAAAAAATCCCAAAAGGTATCTTTACTTAAGACTTATGAAAGAGATCTACTACAATTATGTCTATTTTTTTTTTTTTTTGAAATGTATCAGAAACTTTCAGGTGATTTTTTTATGAGGGCAGTATGGTTTACATTTTAATTTCTTTTCTCTCACTTGGTGTCAGATACTGGAAAGGAGTTGCTGGGGGATTTAGTCTCACAACTCATTTACCTTTCCAGGATTCACCTGTGCGGTTTGATGATCATGCTTTTTCTTCTAAAGTTGAAAGCTCTTTGTTAACATTTCAGTAATCCTTCATCCATCCAGAGAGGGCTGTCCTTGCCTCTTGTTGGTAGAAGCCCATCATTGTTACCATCATTATCATCATTTTATTGCAACTGTGGTTCGTGGTGGAGGCCCAGTATGAGTAATAGTACATATCAGTTCACAACAGATACCATATATTTCCTTAGTTTCTTAGATTTCCCCTACTTTGTGACATTGGGCAGTGAATGAATGATACTCTAATAAAAGTCTACCTCAGGTCCCAAACATGGAATCACGTGATGTTGGATTAAAGTACTCAAAAAAGAAAAGGCCGATTTTGTAAAGATCATTTAAAAAGTATATATGTGGGCCTTTTCTAAACATGATGGGAAAGCAACTATGCTATACGTGAAGAGGACGAAGACTTCAAATAAGACACTTGACGTTCTGCTGTGTACCAAATATATGGCCTGGAAAGTTACTAATATTGTGAGCATCACTTTCCTCATGAAAATGTATTATTAAAAACTACTGAGAAATCAGAGAATTTGAATACTGACAGGATTATCTGATATCAAGGAATTCTTATTGATTGATTTTTTAGTCTGGATGATGGTATTCTGATTACAGGAGCTATAAAGAGTCTTTTTTTCTTAGAGATACACACTGAAGTGTTTACGAATGAGATTATGATGTCTGAGATTTGCTTTTAAATAATCCAGTTTTGGTGGGGGAGGGAAGATGTGTGGTTGGCGTGGTGATAATTTTTGAAATTGGTAAATGGAACATTGAGTTTCTTACCCTGGTCTCTCTACTTTGTACATGTATGAACATCTTCCTGAGTTATAAAAATTTGTGAAGATTGAGTAAAAAAACCTGGATGAAAGTTCCCAGCACCTGATATGCATTAGATAACTGATTCAGTAAGTGCTTGAAATTAAATAATTCAAACACGAGAGACAGAGGCTTCAAAAGGAAATGGTTAAAAATGTGAGTAGGTTTGAGGGGGGAGGAAAAGTGACAATTTGTAAGGAGGTTTGTATTATGTGTAAGAAAGCAGAATTCTTTATAAATCTGGTTTTTGCCTGAGAGGACAACACAGTATAGAGATTCTAAGGTGGAAAAGGATTCTAGATCATGAAAGTCCAGGAAATAGAAATGCGTTGTTTTGCACCTGGACTAGCGTCTGTTGCCCTGCATTGGGGGCTCACCGTGATTGGGATGAGGTGTGTATGAGGGAACCGTAGACATTTTTAGTGTGTGTATTTAAGATCTATAATATAAAACTCATAGTATAATTCTAGGAGACCACTTGTAGTGGGTTGCCAGAGACCCTAGAAAAATGGATAAAAGCTCATTAACCTGAGCTGGCAAAGTCATAATCATTCTTTGAACTCAGGACCTCTCTATTACTTCTGTTTTGTAAACCAGCGATAGTTGTGGGCATCCTTCTGACAGGAAATGGGAAAAACTCTGAGTGTCTCAATAGATGGTGCATCTTGGATACCTACTGGTCTTTTGGCGTGATCCAGTAGAAACGCTCCACCTGGGTAAAAGCTGTGTCCACCTTTTGAGCCACATGGCAGCTGGTTAGGTTGAGATCCTACTTGGGAACAACCTGTCTTTTCCAGCTGCTCCCTGTCAACAGGAGGCAAGTCTCTACTGGAGACAAATCAGATTGGTCGGGTAGGAATTCCATGCAGAGTTCTGGAGAGCCACCTGTGAGGTTTCTGTGTCAGTGAGTCTGAAGGTTGGGGTGGGATCTTTGGGAGCACATAGGGAAATGCTGTCTTCTCTTGGGGTGGCTAAGACTACGTGGCTTTTGAATGAGAGTGTGACTTAGAGTCCTAGGGGATGATGGGGCCAGGAAGGGGGGGACCATCCATGCAGAAAACAGTGATCAGCAGTTTCTGGAAGGGATTGTGGATCTGGCAGAGGTTTGGGTGATCTCATCAGGCTGGGGCAGTGTAGTACCAACACAAATCCACCTTGGCTCAGCATGTGGGGGATCTCTTGTTTACCATCTGCCACAGATGATGTTGTGGTGGGAGGAGAATAGGGATGAGGCCCATGGGGGCTCTGCCAGGCACGTCTCCACTGTGGCCGGGCTTTTCCGTTAAGTATGGATCAGCAGTAAGCACTCAGTAAACCTGACTACTTTGCTGATTTTCTATGACTTTTTCCTGACTTTTATTCTTGATAAATATCCCAACCTTCTGTCTGTTACACTAGTTAGAGGATTCTTCTGTAGCTCGGGGGGGGGAGGTGGACCTTTGGACCAGATGTGCTGATAGCAGAGGAGTTGGCAACTGTGGAGGTCAGAGAGAGCCAGTGGAACTGGCAGAAGGAAAGAGAGAGGGGTCCTGGAGGACTGAGGTGGGCCCAATTGTGGCTTATTTTATCCTTGAGAAGAGTTAAAATAAATTCCACTTCTTTTTTGGGGGGGGATTTGCTTACTGTATGTGAAGTACAGTGTTAAGTGTTGGGGATGTAAAGATGCATAAATCATGGCCCCTGCCATTTCCTGTCTCACTGTGTGTAAGTGTAAAAAAAAAAAAAAAAAGCCATGATATGGTTGATAAGCATTATATGGCGTTAATTAGTAGGAAGATGATGTGGGGCTAATTACATCTTGTCAGCAAGGGTCATTGCAGTTACAGAGAGGTGGTGATGTTGGAGCTGGGCTTGACAGTGAGTAGGTACTTACCAGCTGGAGAAGGTAGAGGAGGCCTGTGGGGCAGAGGAAGACCGTTCTGGGCAGAGGCAGCAGCAGGTGTGGAACAAAGGGCTATGAGTGCCAGGTGGGGGTGACCCAGAGCACAGGCTCTTGGGCAGTGCACTTGGGTGGTAGGCAGGGCTAGACTGGTGTCTAGCATTCCTAGCCTGAGGCGGCTGAGTTTATGATGCAGCCTCTTCTGGTGATAAGTGGCAGCTAACATTTTGTCTGGGTGTGGAAGTTGAAGTCCAGGTGTGGTCAGTTTTGTTTCTAACCTAGGTGTTGACATGTTCTTTCCCTGACTGCATGTTAATTTGAGCAGGTGTCTGAGTGCTCACAGTTTAAATAAAACACCATGAAGCTTTGCGGTGAGTGGGATGTACAAGAGAGGTATAAGCAGTGACCATGCCTTCCAGGAGTTCAGCTTTTATACGCGAGACCAGATTTACAGGCACACAGTAGGTGAAAGAGAATCTAGGTGTGCCTGCTTGCCAGTGTGGTGAAAGCAAATGCCACAGGAACGGGAGGAGGGAGCGGTCCCTGTGGTGGGGAGTGGTCAGAGAAGGCTCCTTGGAGAGGGACTTGGGAGAGCCCTGGGGTGAGTGGGAACTGGGGAGTCAGGGAGGAGGGCAGCTGAGGAATTCCGGGGAAGAGGGCCACCTTCGAGGGAAGGCTGGGAGATGGGCTCGGGAGCACACAGCCTCTCCAGGTTGAAGGATTCTTGCTCCTTCAAATGTTTATTTAAATTCATCTCTGTGGCAGGGAGTCTGCCAAGCCTTACAGGGTATGGGTGACAAAATTAGAAGGTAATTGGGAGTTTGGCACGTCAGCTGAAAAATAGGAAGCTGTTGGGGGTTTTCTGGGTCATCCAGTGACACTGGCAGGATGGGTTTGAGATTTGGTTGGTGCAACAGGGCCACGAGTTAGGCAGCCTTGGGCGTAATCCTGGTGCGTGGCCCTAAAGACTTGATTAGGATTGTGGCCGCAGGGGGAATGGAGAATGGGCAAGGTTAAAACATTTTGAAGGACTGCTTGATGGAAATGATCTTGTACAGTGGATGAGAGGGCACAGGGGATAAATATGACCCCTGGATAGATAGCCTGGGTCAGGGAGATGCTAGTAATAAGAAGGGGAAAATCGAGAAGGAAACGGTTAGCTCAGGGGAGAGCAAAGGGGGTGATGTGTACTGTTTACAGGTGGAAGTAGCTGAATGCCTCTAGTGTAAGCTGTGGGAGATGGGAAAACTGGGTAAAGGGACTAGACAAGGGGAATAGGCCCTATGATAATTTGTAATGATGATACATAGTGAATTACACTTGGATTTTTTACAATTATTCTTTGTCAACACAACATGTATGTATTTAGAATTTTTGTTAACAAAATTGGAAAAACAGTTAATTTCTTTTTTAAAAGAAAACTTTTTTAAAATGAGAAAATGGTTCATATTCATTGGCAAAAATTTAAAAAGCAGAAGTATGTAAAGAAAAGTAACTTGTGATTCTGCCATATAGATAAAATCCATGTCTATATATATAAATATGTATTTTATATGCCTATCTCTGTTTCTCTATCTCTGTGTATGTATATAAAACTTTTTCCTTTTTTTTTTAAAGATTTTATTTATTTATTTGACAGAGACACAGTGAGAGAGAGGGAGAGAACACAAGCAGGGGGAGTGGGAGAGGGAGAAGCAGGCTTCCCACTGAGCAGAGAGCCCGATGCGGGGCTCGATCCTAGGACCCCGGGACCATGACCTGAGCTGAAGGCAGATGCTTAACGACTGAGCCATCCAGGCGCCCCTAAAACTTCTTCCTTAACACGAGAAAAAATACTGTTCTCTCCAGTTTTTCCCTTCACTTAATATGTTAGGAAAACCTTTTCCTATAATTGAATATATTTCTACAGTATTTTTATTGTTGTGTGCTGTTCCTGTGTATGGCTGTTTTTACAGTAATTTATCTAGCTGCTTCCTATTATTGGATGCTTGGTTGTCTTTTCTGCTTTGCTCGTATAACAACATTGTAATGAATACTCTTGAACCTGTTTTTTTGCATATAGCCTGCAATGTTTAATCATATTAAAACTTACAAAAAATTGTAAGGGAGAGAGAGGCTTCAGGTCACTTGTAAAATCTAGTCCCAAAGAAGGATTAAATACCATTTGCCCCTCCTTTCACTGGTGCAAGGACAGCAGGGCACCTTTGTCAGGACATTCATATTACGAAGAATCCACCTCTATCAGTCGAAGGAGCAACCTTTGACATTTTTACGGTAATCGCAAGGCAGACCACCCAGCCTTGGTAATGAGCTGGTTTTGCAGACTGAAGAAAACTGTGTCTTCCGTGTTCAGATTAATATGTTCTTACATTTACAAAATTATTTCATTATCACCTCTAAAAACTGGGGCAGAAAACGTCTCGATTTTTTTTTTAATGTAAATTATTGAGGTATAAATCAAGTGCACAAATCCTAAATGTACAGCTCCATTAATGTTCACAAAGTGAGCACGCACCTGTGTAACCACCCCAGAAGCCATCTGATGCCCCTTCCAGTCATTACCCACCCCTCCTGAGGGTAACCAGTGGTCTGGTTTTCAGCTTTATAGAAATGGAATCATAACACTGTGTTTTCTTGTGCCTCATTTCTTTCACTCTTGCTTTAGTTGTTAAGATTCATCCCTGTTGTTACATGTGGTTGGTGTTAGTTTATTCTCATTGCTGTGTTGTATTCCATAGTGTGGCTATACCACAGTAGTTCTTTTATACATCCTACTGTTGGCTGACGTTTGAGTTATTGTCCAATAACTGTTGGTTGACATTTAAGTTATTTTCCAATAACTGTTGGTTGATGTTTGAGTTATTTTTTTGCTATTGAAGGTAATGCTGCTGTGGACATTAAAATGCTAAAGCGTGTTTTTTAGTAAAAAAATACACACACGTTTCTCTACACACATTTCTGTTAGAGACCTACTTATGGTTGAAATTGCCGTGTCTGTGGTTCCGTGCATGTTCTGTTAGAGGAGACACTGCCCAGCAGCCTTCTAAAGTGGTTTAATGGTTTACTCTCATAACACCAGTATTTGAGAATTGCATTTCCTTCATGTTTTTGCAAATACTTTTTTAATTGTCCTGTGTAAGGGTTAGAGGTATGGCATTGTAATTTTATTTTGTACTTTCAGTGGAGTTTTTTTTAGGGGACAGCAGCTTGACAATGATTCTGAAGGTTACTTGTGGGAAAAAAAATCAAACACTGATCATGGCCCAGAAAACTCCTGAGAGGAAAGTAGTACAATAATTTTAAACTTTCCTTCATTCGACAGATATTTATTGGACACGTTTCACTCTCTGCCTGCCACCAGTCCAGGGCCTTGAGGATGCTGCAGTGAGAACCCCAGGAAAAAATCCTGTCCTGACAGAGCTTTCTCTCTAGTTGTAGCAAGTAAGATGCATGCAGTCTTGCAGGAGTAGACAGGTCAGTTGGCAAGGATTCCTGCGGCAGGGATTGCAAGAGCTGTCAGCGCGTCCTGGCATCTCTCCATGGAATTTGGGGGCAGCCCCAGAGGGGAGCCTCTACCTTAGGAAGCCATTTGTTGCTGACTGATGAGACTTACTTGCCAAGCTGTTCCCTGTTGATCATATGATAATTAGTTTGTGATACACGTGGCATCCTAAAGACGGGGGAAGGGAGAATGATTTCATTTGTGCTCCTGGGACAACCAGGAGATTAAGTGGAAAAAACTAAAGTTGGAGGATCCTTACCTCAAGCCACATAAAAAAATAAAGTAACAATGTATTGAAACTTAAAAGATAAAGCTATTTAAAAGCTAAGAGAAAATGTGGGTGAATATTAGTCTTGAGATGAGGAAGGCTTAGCTTCTAGACTTAGAAGTAAGTAATGGAAGAAATTGCAAAGGAGGGAAAAAAATCTACAGACTCAATTATCTACAAGTATCAAACTGGATAAATATTTGCAACAAATCTGGGGCGCCTGGGTGGCTCAGATGGTTAGGCGTCTGCCTTCGGCTCAGGTCATGTTCCCAGGGTCCTGGGATCGAGTCCCGCATCGGGCTCCCTGCTTCTTGGGAGCCTGCTTCTCCCTCTGCCTCTCTCTCTCTCTGTCTCTCATGAATAAATAAAAAAAAAATAAAAAAAAATATTTGCAACAAATCTGATAGACAAAGGGGGAAAAGGGCATGTTCACACACTGCTGATGGGAGTGTAAATAGGTACAGTCTTTTTTGGAGAGCAGTGTGATAATAAGTATCAAGAGCCTTCAAGTTCCTCTCCTTTGACTCAACAATTTCTCTTCCAGGAGTCTAGCCATTGAAGATTGCCAGGAATTTGGACAATTGTTATATACAAGGCTGGTTACCTTAGCTTTATTTAAAAACACCCCAAACTGGAAAATAACCTAAACGTCTACTGGTGGGAGAAGAGTTAAATTGTGTTTTTAACTAAATTAATTACTCACTGCTGTAAGCAAACATAGGTATGATTCTCAATCATAGGATCGCTGTAATTAGCAGCGACATCTCCTTTGTACTTCCTATCTTGTTTTGCCTCAGGAAAATCAAAATATAATTCTTCTACGTTTCCGAAAATCCATTTCAATGCTAAGTGAAGAATAGTGGGATTCTTGGACCAGTTTTGAGCTTTTCTTTTGTACTGTGCTAAAAAAAAAAAAAATGTTAAATGGAAACGGATCGTACAGAACATTTATAAAGTGCTTATTGTGTGTAGTGCATTGTGCTAAGTGTGTTACATGATTATTCATTTATTTCTATCATCGACCTTAAGAAGCAGGTAATGTTATCCCCATTTTACAGGGGAGGAGCCAGAGGCCGGGAAAGTTTTACTTACCTGAGGTCCTACAGGTGGTGAGAGGCAAAAGCAGAGCTCAGCACCGGCCAGGCCTGAGGGACTCCAGAGCTTGTTACTGAGTATCTAAGCAAGAGTTTGTCCTGCCTTGGAATTAAAATGTAGAAATAACAAGTGACTTGTAGAAACAATTGTAATGGGACTTGACTCTGCGGCAGCTGCGGAGGGAGTGGAGATACTATGGTTGCATTTCCCTTCCCGGGCGCCCCCACGGTGCCCCCACATCACCGTGGCCTCCGGTGTGGTCGCTGTCATCCATCTCGCCTTGTTCTTCGAGTAGCTCAGGGAGTTCACCTCCTTACCCCCAAATCACTGTTCTGTCCCCAGGATCAACAGGCCCTCTCCTGCACCATCAGGATACCGTATGATCTCATGTTGTTTTTCAGCATTTCTCATGGGCCCTGGGACTCCACGGAACAGGAATGAGCAGCTTCCCGCTTATGGGCACTGGAATCTATCACTAAAGGCAAGAGGAACACTGTGAAAAAGCATCGAGTGCACCTAATTCTCATTGACCATTTCCACTCTAGAATGGAGAAGACACTAACTAGAGCAGCCTTTCATATCTTCTTCCATAAAATCCCACAAGAAGCCATACGGCTTCTTTCCAGCTTAGCTTGTTTGTCCTCCTTTCTTGCATTATTGGTGCCCTTGAAACAGGAATGGGGGCAAAAGAATTAGGTTGTTTCCATCCATGATTTTATAATTAAATCTGTTTTTTGTTGTTTTTTTTTTTTAAGCTGTATGTCCTTGCTAAAAACAAGATGTAATTTGTCTCTCCAAATTTCTGTAAACTAGGGTTTCTCAATATCAGCACTGTTGACATTTGGGGCTGGATCACTCTGTTGTAGGGGGTCGTCCTGACCTCTCCCAACTAGATGCTAGTAGCGTCCCTCCCCCTCAGGTTATGACAGTCAAATTTGTCATCAGACACTGTCAGATGTCCTCTGTGGGGAAAAATAAATACAAACGGAAGAAGTGTAGAGCTAGAGAAACCTTGCCCACCCCTCCCCCCATCCCTGAAAGGCAGGAAACCTAGGGAGAAGGCTGGGCCTCTTAGGTTGTACTTGGCTGTTAGGGGACGTTGGTGTTTATAAGCTGGACAATCAGGCTAAGCTGCCCGCAGTTGAGAACCTGAGAACCACTGGTATAAACATAAAACTTGGCACACTTAACATGTTTTTGTTTTTTTTATGAGGTGTTGGGAAATAATTGTGCTTGAGAAGTGTATTATCATATCTGATGTTTTATCCTTTGAATATTTTCAGCTTTTTCACATATTGATCCCATGATTATATACTTTTGAGGGTAAAATATCTTCTTTTTTTTTTCTAAACAGTATGCAAGCATTGAAAAAAATGGTGAGTTTTTCATGTCTCCCAATGACTTCGTCACTCGATATTTGAACATATTTGGAGAAAGCCAGCCTAATCCAAAGACTGTGGAGCTTTTAAGTGGTGTAGTGGATCAGACCAAAGATGGGTATGTTTGTTTTTAATTATCTCATTTAATTTTTTTGTTTGAAATAGCTTTCTGTTGCTTTAAAGATTAGGAAGTCAATGAATACTTTTCCATCTTGAGCATTTTCTCTACCTGTTACAATTAATTCATTATTTTAGGAATACCTTTAACATTTCCTTCTTATCACAGTTGGGGATTCTATTGTGTATTTTTTTTTTTTAAAGATTTTATTTATTTGACAGAGACAGAGATAGCGAGAGCAGGAACACAAGCAAGGGGAGTGGGAGAGGGAGAAGCAGGCTTCCTGCCAGGCAGGGAGCCCGACGTGGGACTTGATCCCAGGACTCTGGGATCATGACCTGAGCCAAAGGCAGACGCTTAACGACTGAGCCACCCAGGCACCCTATGTGTGTATTTTTTTAAGACTTTATTTAGGGAGAGAGAAAGAGAGAGCACACTTGAGGAGGGGAGGAGCAGAGGGAGAGCGAAGGAGAGAATTTCAAGCAGACTCTGCGCTGAGCACAGAGCCCTACATAGGGCTCTATCTCACATCCCTGAGATGATGACCTGAGCCGACATCAGGAGTCGGATGCTTTATCAACTGAGCCACCCAAGCACCCCTATGTGTGTATTTTTTGACAGTAAAGAACTGCTTATAGTTTCAGAGACTTATTGTAGTTGATGAGTGGTATGAGATCTACTAGAATATTTGTACATATATTGGTATTTTTCAAGGGAACTGTAAAAATTGTGAGTAAATGTAAAATATAGCTCTATGAACGTAACTTTTCTATGATCTTTTCCTCTGCTCAAATAACTTTTGAAATCTTCCATATGATTAAATCGTATGAATCTAACAGACAATAATATGATGGTTCCAAATCACTAAGAAGGGCATTCTACCCAAGCTGGAAGAGACTGACACTTTGCTGAATGCCTTTGGATTTTTTTTTCCCTTACCAGTGTTGTCACATTTAAAAAATGAGTTTTTCCTAAGCTGTTTAAGATTGCAGTTGGCTTTTACCATTAAGTGTGGAATATTGAGCCCCACACTCTTGGTAATACAAATACCAGTGTCCCCTAATAGCCAAGTACCATGTCCAAGAACTGGCCTTCTCCATATTAACTGTGGTAGACCCAGCCTCCTACCCTTGCTCCACCTGTCAGCACCCCCTTCCGTAGATTGCAGTTACCTGCTGTTCCGGAGTGGTGTTCTCTACTCTGGGCCTTCGCTGTCACCTGATTTTTCCCACATGCACCGGTTAAGATACAACTATAGTAAAATTTGTTGATGTATTGCAAATGCTTTCAATTTTTACCAGCATTTCCCTTTTCTTATTTATGCGCCCGTGGTCCCATCTTCCATTGAAGTAATCTCTAAAATGAAGGTCTTGCAGATAGGAGGGAGAGGGATGGATATTGGCTGTGATACTTACAATAACATCCCGGAGAGTTGCTGGATCGTGCCTTCTCTGTTCATTATTCTGACAGAGGTTATTTGGGTTACTTCTATTTTCTGTCTCCACCCCAACACAGCATTTTTTGCTTGGTGGGAAAGTGTGTGTAATGTATGAGCAGGCCATCATTCCCTCACAGGGCCTCTGCTGGTTGGTGCTTGGAGAGGCTGATGTATATTTCACACTAGTCCATTGAAGCAAAAGCTAGATAGAACGTAGATTTATTCTCCAGATATATTTTTTTGGGGGGGAAGTTTGGTTACTTTCACACGCCTTGTGTTCATGATTCATAGGAAGTGTGACCAAGCTCACATACAACAAGAATGGTCTGATTCAAAGTTTAAGATTCATTTTTTTTTCTTACTTGATAGTTTAAAAATTCTTTAAATTACAGAAACATTGAAAGAATATAATGAACACCTATAAAGAATATAATGAACAAAGCATGCTCTGCACCTAGATTGACTAGTTGTTAACACATTTGTCACCTTTGTCTTCTCTTTTTACACACACATGCTTTCTATATACAAATATATGCATACACATCATTTTCTTTTTTGGCTAAACTATTTAAACTGTAGACGTCATGGTGGTTTGGCATTTATCTTCTAAGAATAAGAACATTCTCCTACATAACCGCCATACCATTATCTTCCTTAGGAGAATTAACAGTGCTGTGAAGTATCTTCTAATTTCCGGTCCGTATTCTAACATACTGCCCCCAGCCTCAAATGGCTCATGGCTGGTTTTTGGTTTTTGTTTTTTTTTTTGCTTTTTTGTTTTTAAATCTAGGATCCAGTCAAGGTTCTTTTATTACATTTAGTTGTTATATCTCTTTTAATCTAGAACAGACCCTTACCTTCTAATTTTTTTTTTTTTTTTCATGATACTGACTTTTAAAACCCAGGCCAGTTATTTTATTGAAAGTCTCACAATACTGGACTCGTCTGATTGCTTTCTCAGGCCTGGATTCATGTTAAAGTTTTTGGTGCAGGTTCGGAGTGATTCTGTTCTACCTATGGTACCTCCTCAGGAGGCAAGTTGTCATAGCATTGGTGATGGGAGGTTTGATCACTTGGTTAAGGTGGCATCCCCTAGATTGTACAGAGATCATTTTTGTTTGTAATTAGTAAATCCTGAGACCATGTGCATATCCTGTCTCCCAGCAACTTTTCATCCACTAGTGTTAGCATCGATGATGATCCTTTCCTGAATTAGTTATTATGTTGCGGTTTGAAAAGTGGTGGTCTTTAAAAGATTTTATTTATTTATTAGAGAGAGAACGCATGAGCAGGGGGAAGGGCAGAAGCAGAGGGAGAAGCAGACTCCCCTGCTGAGCAGGGAGCCCGATGCGGGGCTGGATCCCAGGACCCGGGGATCATGACCTGAGCTGAAGGCAGACGCTTAACTGGCTGAGCCACCTAGGCTCCCCGAAAGACAAGTGGTGATTTTTCTAATTCTGTCATTTCTTCTATATTTATTGTCTAGCATTCTTTGTTAAGAGAAAGCTTTCTTCCCTCAACCCTGTTTTCTTTCTCTCTTTATATCAGTATAAAGTCTTGGAATTTTTTATTTTAAATTCAATGAATTATTGCTGTTACTCTTGTGGATGCTCAGCTTGTCCCAGTGTGGGCAGGGGGAGTCCCTTCAGTCTAACTCCAGTGCCTGTGAGTGCTCCTTGCTTCAGGCAACTAAGATGTTCCACGCTCACCGTGGGTATTTCCTTCCTCTAACCTGGAAATCACTCTTCTTCAAGAAGTCCTGTCCTGGTTCTTTTAGGTTGGGAACGGTGCTTAGAAACAGAAAGCTGGGCACTGGCTTATTGTCACTAGGTTGTTACTACTTCTCTGGCTTCTCAGTGGAAAGAACGGAGACATATACTTAAAAAAAAAAATCAAAACTTCATAATGACATTTCCTATTTAAATTTAACATGACAGGATTTTTTCTAATATTTGATCTCTTTTGGTGAACATGTTGGTTCCTTATTAAATTAATATATTTATGGGTATTAACTTATATAATTGTAATACCTTCTAATGTTTTTTTTCCCCCATTAACATACATGCTTTTCCTATTTATTTTTATAGGTACTCTCCAAAAATAATAGCCTTTGATTCATTAGATACAGTAATGTAACATACGTTGTACATACATAACGTAACATGTATATTTTTTCAAAACTTATAACAATCTAAAATGCTGGCTCTGCTTTCCTGGTTGTGCAGATGAGCTAGCTGGGGCTGTGGGTTATCGAGCTGTTTGGCACCAAGCCTGACTCCCTCCAAAGACCGTGTGGCCTTTCCACTGTTTCAGACTGCCTTTTCTGTCATAATCTTGTCATCCTCTTTAACTTGACATTTTCTTTCAGATTTTGTATTATCTTAAATCTCAGTGTTTCAGTGTGACAGAGAAAATCTTAGATGGCCTCAATCTGTTGCCCTATGACTTTTTCTTCCTTCAGTTGCAAAAACCTCAGTTTCAAAAGGGAAAATAACCACCCATAATCTTTTCATCTCGACACGATTATTTAGAATTTTTTCAGTGTCTCCTGTGATTTGTTAACCTGCATCAATATTTTCCATAATCTGAATGCATTTTAATTGCAGTTCTTTTATAATCTTTTAGACTGTATCAACCAATTCTCATATTTCTGTATGAGGTTCATATTAACAGTGATAAATAGCTTCATCATTTTCTATGAAATTATGTACCATACTTTATGAAGTCATGCCCTTCTAGAGTTATTTCAGTTTTCTTTTTGTTTCTAGTTTTCCTTTTGTTTAATTAATTCCCTTGAAAGAACTTAGAGGCATTCTCGATGCAGGGGTAGAAATATTTTAAGTCTCACCATATGTATTGTAACTCTTTCCAAAAGCATGGAGTAAGTTGAAGAACTTGTCCAAACTATTTAGGCTTTCTGAGCTAGTAGCACAGTGCGGGTGTTTGAGCCGAGACCTGCCTAAGACCCAAGGCTGTTCAGATGTTCACGTGCCATTTTCCCTAAGCCTAACCCTGACACGCAGCTCCTCAGTATTTACTTCACAAATAGGTGTAACCATACATCTGTTCTCAATGTAAAACTGCGAATGCCTTCATTTCCCCTTCCTTTCCCTTTCTCTGGAGGCATAGCGTTTATCAAGTTCACAAGTCACAAATCATCTTCCCAAATCAACTACTGTTCCTTGACAAAATCACACGATGAAGCCACATGTTGGCCCATGGAAGCACAACACCTACACCAAACAAAGGGGAAGCACTGGTGTGGGCTCTGTTTGTCTCTCCAGGCTCTTTTCACATCGCTTGGCTGGCCAGAGGGATTTTAGTACGTAAGCTTAGTAAAATCTGAAAAACGATTTGTAGATCGGTAACTTTAGCATTTAAGTAATAGTGGCAGCTGTGCTGACCCAGATGTCAGGGTGAATTGAAATAGTTATTCTTGGGTAGATGCTGGCCCACCAGCTGTGGTTTCTTGCATGTATAGACCAGGTCCTGCATATTTTCAGATCTCCGGTGTCTAGTCCAATATCTGGCCTGTTTCACAGCAATTTGTTGACCAAACATA